TTTCACCGAGATTATGGTCACACCACGGAGAATTGCAGACATTTGAAAGATGAGATTGAGAGGCTGATTCGAGCGGGATATTTGAAAGAATTTGTGTATCATGACATGGTGAGAGGGAAAGGAAGGAGAAGGTATAGGGAGGATTCGGAAGAAAGAAGTGATAGAGACGAGGAGGGAGATGGCGGATATGGTCAAAACGGTCGAGGAAAGAAGCCAAGGAGAGATGGCAATAAATGGGGGGCATGGAGGAGAAGACCCGGTGAAGAGAGAGACGATTTACATGATTTCCGGTGGGCCAAGGGATGGAGACTCGAATAGGGCCAGGAAGGAGCATGCTCGAGCTGTGAAGAGGAAGAGAGAGGAGGTGGGTATTACGGCTCGCATGTCGGTCATAAGTTTTAAAGCGGAGGATGCCGAGGGAGTGGTCCTACCGCACAACGATGCTTTGGTGATAACCGTGGAGGTTGCAGGCTTCGACGTGAAAAGGGTGTTTATTGACACCGGAAGTTCGGTGGACGTGATGTTTTATGACTGTTTCGTGCAAATTAACAAAGAGTTGAATACAGAGTTGAAACCGGTGACCACGACACTCTATGGCTTTAATGGAGGGGAGGTGATGTCGATGGGTGAGGTGAGTTTGCCAGTGGCGCTGGGAGTGGGCGAACTGAGGAAGGTGCGCATGGTGAGGTTTGTGGTCGTAGGGGCTGAATCATCTTATAACATCATTATGGGGCGGACGAGCTTGAACGCGTTCCAGGCGGTCGTATCCACGTACCACATGACGATTAAATATCCGGTGGGCGAAAACGTAGGGGAGATTGTTGGGGACCAGCTCACTTCGAGGAGCTGCTACCAAACGACGGTTAGCAATAATAAGCAGCTGGCGAGGAGGCAGGCCCAGTCAGAGGAGGAGAGGATTAATCGGCCAGGTGGGTCGAGATCGAAAGAGGATAAGCAAAGAATGGACAAGGGCAAAGAGAAGATGGATATTCAGCCAGGGGGAGAGGTGGATGAGATTCAGATGATCGAGGGGTGTGAAGAGAGGAAGTTCAGAATCGGGAAAGACTTGGAGGAGCCTATTCAGTCGAGGCTTATCGATCTAGTCAGGGAGTTCGCGGACATTTTTGCCTACACCGCGGAGGAGTTAACGGGGATAAGTGCGGGAGTGATCGAGCACCGGCTGAACATCGACCTCAGTGTGAGGCCGGTGAAGCAAAAAAGAAGAAACCATGAGGCCGAGATGGACAAAATCATTGAGAAGGAGGTCGAGAAGTTATTGGGAGCAGGGCATATCAAGGAAATCCAGTTCCCTGATTGGTTGTCAAATACGGTGATGGTGTCGAAGGCGGAGGGAAAATAGAGGATGTGCATTGATTTCCGTGACCTGAACAAAGCGTGCCCGAAGGATCTATACCCGCTGCCCAGAATCGACCAGCTGGTCGACTCAACGGCAGGGTGTGAATTGTTGAGCCTGATGGATGCCTCCCAGGGATATCATCAAATTCCCTTGGCGAGGGAAGACAGGAAGCCTGTGAGTTTTGTAACAAATCGAGGGACTTATTGTTACGTGGTCATGCCGTTCGGTCTAAAGAATGCGGGTGCCACATATCAAAGGTTGGTCGATAAAATTTTCAAGGAGCAACTGGGGAGGAACATGGAGGTATACGTGGACGATATGTTGGTGAAAAACAATGAGGAGTTGGATCATGTGCGAGACTTGAGAGAAACATTCCTAACATTGCGGAGATACGGGATGAAATTGAATCCTGCTAAGTGCTCTTTTGGGGTGAGATCGGGGAAGTTCTTGGGCTACTTGGTGACCAAGAGAGGTATTGAGGTGAATCCAGAGAAGGTTCGAGCTATAATGGAGATGAAGCCACCGACGACTGTTAAAGAAGTACAGATCTTAGCTGGTCGAATTGCGGGGCTGAGCCGTTTTATATCGAAGGTGACAGAGAAGAGTGGTCCATTATTTAAAACATTGAAGAAGAGCGCAAAATTTCAATGGACGGAAGAGGCGCAGGGGGCCTTTGAGGAGCTGCGAAGGGTGTTAGCCAACCTCCCCCTATTGGCTAAACCTGTGCAGGGCGAGGAGCTGGTACTATACATTTCTATAGGAGACATGGCGGTAAGCTCGGTATTGTTACGGGAGGAAGGAGTAACGCAATTTCCTATCTATTACGTGAGCAGGGTGATGTAAGGGGCGGAAATGAGGTATTCAGAGATCGAGAAGTGCGCTTTGGCTGTAGTCGTGACCGTCGAAAGTTGAGACCTTATTTCTTGAATCATAAGGTGAAGGTGCGAACAAACATGCCGCTGGGAGAAACACTTGGCCGACCATCGGTCTCTGGTCGATTGGTGAAATGGGCGGTCGAGTTGAGTGAATATTCTTTATTGTATGAACCAAGGAGGGCCATAAAGGCGCAGGTGTTGGCTGATTTTATCCAGGAAGGCACGAAAGTCGAGGGGGAGTTAGCGGGAGTATGGCAGCTGTTTGTGGACGGATCAGTGGCGCAAAGTGGGGCAGGTTTAGGAATTGTCCTTGTTTCTCCTAAAGGCGATTACTTGGCATTTGCCGTTAAAGTGGGGTTCAAAGTATCCAATAACGAGGCCGAATATGAAGCAGTAATCAAAGGCCAGAGTTTAGCCAAGGCGGGAGGAGCTCGAAAAGTACAAGTGCGTTCTGATTCTCAACTGGTGGTTGGGCAATTTCAGGAGGGATTTGAAGTCAAGGAGGACCGGATGCAAAAGTATGTAGACGAGATGAGGAAGTTGAAGGAGGAGTTCGATTCATTCGAGCTGATACAAATTCCTCGAGGAGAAAATGGTTGAGTGGACCTATTATCGAAAATCGGTCAGAGCTTGGTGGACTGCAAGAGCAGAAGTGTCACTTTATTGCATCTTGAAAGGAGTATGGTCGAAGCAGAAGTGGCGGAGATCGAAGAAGTGGAAGATTGGAGGGCCCCAATCTTGGAGGAGCTGAAAGGAAGAGCGATAAAAGTGGTGAGGAGGTTTTTCGAGCAGGGAGACATTCTTTACAAACGGTCGTATGGGGGGCCCCATTTGCGGTGTGTTACTAAGGAAGAAGGTCGATACGTGCTGAGAGAGATGCACGAAGGATGCTGCGGTGATCATAGCAAGTCGGGGGCTTTGGTCGCAAGGATTTTAAGAGCGGGATACTTTTGGCCAACGATGAGGGAAGATGCGAAAGCAATGGTGAAGAAGTGTTTGCAATGCCAAAAACATGGCCCCCTTATCCACCAACCAGCAGAAGCAATGACAACGATGAGTGCCCCTATACCATTCGCCCAGTGGGGTATCAACCTGGTGGGGCCGATGCCTCAAGGAACCGGGCAGAGAAAGTTCTTAATAGTGGCGGTCGATTATTTCACAAAATGGGTGGAAGCCGAGCCCTTGGCAAAAATAACGGAGGAGAAAGTAATCAAATTTCTATACAATAACATCTGCTGTCAGTTTGGCATACCCAAAGTGTTGATCTCCGACAACGGCACTCAATTCAATGGTAAGCGGATTCGAGCGTGGTGCGAAGACATGTAAATCGAGCAACACTTTGCTTCTGTTGCTCATCCGCAAGCCAATGGCCAGGTCGAGGTAACCAACCGAATTATATTGAGTGGGTTGAAAACAAAGTTGGAGAAGGCCTCGGGAGCATGGGTCGATGAGCTGAGTTCTGTACTTTGGGAATATCGCATAACCCCGAGGTCGACGACAGGAGAAACCCCGTTCAGCTTAGCTTATGGAATGGAAGCGTTGCTGCCGGTCGAGGTCGAGTTATCATCCCAGAGGTCGAGCACGTATGATGCTGAACAGAACGAGGAGCTGATGATGGCGGCCTTAGATACTATTGAGGAGCTGCGCGGGAAAGCATCAATCAGAGTGGAGGCATACAAGCAAAGGATGCGAGCCGCTCAAGACAAAAAGGTGAAGATTCGCAGACTCCAAGTAGGCGACCTGGTTTGGAAGCGTGTCGATGTGCTCAAGCATGTGGGAAAGCTGGAGCCGAATTGGGAAGGGCCATATCTGGTCGAGCGAGTGCAGGCAGGAGGAGCGTACTCGCTGAAAGATGCTGAGGGCCGATCGCTTGCCAGGTCATGGAACATAGCTAATTTGAAAAAATATTATGTGTGAAAATTTTTGTTTCTTTTAAAA